AGAAAGAAAGAAAGAAAGAAAGAAAGAAAGAAAGAAAGAAAGAAAGAGAGAGAGAGAGAGAGAGAGAAGGACCAATAAAAGGAAGGAAGGAAGAGAAAGAAAGAGAAAGAAAGAGAAAAAAGAAAGAGAAAGAAAGAAAGAGAAAAAGGAAAAGGAAAAGAAAAGAAAAGAAATCAAAATATATTTCATTTCCAAATAAGGTGTCAGCCAACACAACAAACATCTTTTCTAGAATCATGGATACTAAAATGGGAATTTTTTTATTCAATAATACTGAACACAATATCATTAATGCCACAGACAGAAAGTTCAGCATTTCTGAGCCTGGCTATCTGCAAAAAACCATCTATTCTTTAATCTTTTCAATCTGTATTCCAGGGATTATTGGAAATGGAATTGTCATCCAACTTTTGCATTTCCAAATTAAGAGGAATCCTTTCACTGTCTATATCCTCAATTTGGCTGTGGCGGACACTGGGACTCTTCTTTTCTTGTTTATCTCCGCAATCCTGCACTTAACTACTGAAGTATCCTTCCCAGAAATAATAGAAGGGTTACTATGCACTTACTGCACTGGTCAATTTCTTCTAACAATTATCAGCATTGACCGATGTTTGGCTGTCTTCTTCCCCATTTGGCATCGATGCCATCAGCCCCCATACCTGTCCACCATACTCTGTGCCTTTTCATGGATCACCTCTATTCTCTTCTGTACAATTCATTACACTCTGATTCGGGTTACAGGTCTTCAAGAGCTTCTCCGATTCTCATTCCACTTCCTTATTCTCATATTTACCACAGTTTGCATCCCAATCATGGTGGTTTCCAGCTTGGCCCTCTTCATCAAAGGCTACCTTAAATCACAAATGAGGAAGCGAGGAAAACTTCTCAAAGCCATCCTGCTTGCCCTCTTTTTCTTCCTCATCTTTTCTATTCCACCAAGTGCCATTTATCTTAACGATATTATTTCCAAGAGGAAATGTTTCCATTTCATTCCATATGGTTACTTATGTGCCTGTCTAAACAGCAGTGTTAACCCACTAATCTATTTTCTCTTGGGGAGAAGGAAGGAACACCATTCAAGATACAACCTAAAAATAAGCCTCCAGAGAGTTTTCAAGGAGGAAGAAGAGAGCAAAGAGCAATCAGACATCTGTGCTGAGGTGTAGTTATGATATTTTCACCAAGAGTAAAGAAAACCTTCTGTTTTTCCATAGCTCCCTGTTAGGATGCTTCATTCAGACAAAGCTTCTCTGGCAAATCCAGGATTACTAGATAATTTAATGCCAAGAAAATTAGGAAATTAGTCTGTCAGAATGGTAATTTCAAACAGATCATGGTTGAGATGATTTTGTGAAATAACACATGAGTTAAAGGGGAAAAACTTTACTTATTTATTAGCTTGGTGCAGCTGAATGAACATTTTTTCTTATCTTCATATTTCTATACTTGCTATGTTCATTTGCAAGAACACACCAAAAGATTCCAACCATTGATTAAAATGCTTTGATATCCCTTGCTATTTTCATCTCACAGTTTCATTATCCAGCAAGGAACTTTTATCAGTGATAGCAAGTTAAGATGAGAGTTAAGATGAGTCAGTTAAGATGAGAGTCAGCATAAGTGTTGGGACTGAGAAGTTGGACTTTGACTGTGGAGATTCAGCCTCCATGTGAATGAGAAGGATGTGTATTTGTGTTTATTTTCATAGTCACAATGTACATTGAAAATGGTATTTAATTTTGTTGTACAAGGTGCAATGACAATAAAGTAAACTAAACTTTTTTTAAAAAAACTAAACTAAACTCAAAACCATAAAGTTGACCATAAAGTTCCTTCAGTCCTAAGCACATAAAAACATAAGCAGTGATCCCTGGTTAATTTAGTCCAGCCTTCCATTCTGACGGAGGCCAACCAACTGCAAAAGGAAGCCCACTTCCATTCAACACAGATGCCCTTCAGAAACAGCTTCACTGCCATCAAGGCTAATAGTCCATTGATCCTCGTGATTTCCATGAATTGGTCTCAACTCCCTTTTGAAATTAGCCAAGCTGGTAGCCAAACTATTGGGCCACTCATTCCCTCAGAAGAAGGAAAGGCATGGAGAAGAGAGGAAATTCCACTCAACTTCTTCTCAGCAAGAAGAAAAAAAAGTTGGCCCCCTAGATGTCCAAGTCTTAAGTCACGAAGGCATTTATAGTGACAACCAACACTGTGGATTATACCTGAAAATCCACTGGTAACCAGTGCAACACACAAAGTAGAAGTCTCCCCTGCATAAAATGAAATCTCTACCTCATGATGACTTAGTCTGCTGCATTCTGGACCAGCTGCAGTTGCAAGTAGCCTTCAAGGGTAGCCCTATGTGTGATGTTTGCTCTACCTTGGAAAGGAACACAGGGTTAAAGCTTCTTTTTACTTACATTACTCCAAATAACCCTGCGTGTCCTCAAAAACATATTCTGATATTTTTACACATGTGCCCAATATAAGCCCTAACCCCAAAATAAGCCCTAATTAAGACTCTGCCCACTCCAGAGTGCATGGGGAAAAAATTAAGCTAGGGTGGGGTGGGGCTGCTCTACTACTTACCTTTGGACAATTGTAGCCAGGCCTTGCACACCCCGACACCTGCCTTGCCGGCCCATTTCTTCTGCAGCTGGCAAGGCTGGCAAGGCTTTCCTGAAGCCCTCTGTAGCCGATAACAAAGTTCTGGATCGATCTGGAGCTGTTATAGAGCTGTAGAGGCCTTTAGGAAAGCCTTGCTGGCTGCAGAAGAAGAAGTTCCTGAAGGCCTCTGACACCAAATAGGAGGCCAGGGGCAATGCACGCAAGAGAGGTTAGTCAGTGGATGACATCCCCCCAAAATAAGACCTGGTGTGTTTTTGGTGGCAAAAAAAATATAAGACAGAGTCTTATTTTCGGGGAAACATGGCGTGTGTATATATGTATATGTGTGTATGTATGTGTGTAGATAGATAGATAGATAGATAGATAGATAGATAGATAGATAGATAGATAGATAGAT